CAGTTGTGTTCCGGCAATAAGTAGCCAATGAATCTATCAAATCCATAAAAGTCAGAAATGTATTTTTTCCCCAACTGTCATTGAGTAAAGGTTCCCCTCGCACATATGTGGTAGTCGTTCCCGACTCTAGGGGACAGTACTCATCTCCGTTTCAAAACTGAAGAGCCAGCGCTGTCTGAAGATGTCTCCGTGGGCATGTGGCGTCACTAAAAGCCAAAGGCGCATGGAACGCTGTTACCAGTGGTGAGATTCAAATAATTTAACAACCGGTTCTCTGTTCTAATGACCCGGTGGGTAGGCGGGGCTTAGTGGTCATGTGACCGTGTGGGTGTGGCCAATTCAACATTACTCAGGTCGATGGGCACTTCGCTTTAGCTGTTACAATGTAGCAAGAGTGAACTGGAGAGGCAGTTTCTGTAAGCAGGGCAATAAAATTTAGGCAAGAAACAACACCAGAATGTTTCCTTCCTGCCTTCCTTACAGGATTAGCCCTCTAAAGTGGAAAAAAAGATTTCTTCCCAAAACCGGTTCTCCGAACTGCTTAGAAAGTTACCAACCGGTTCTCCCGAATAGGTGCGAACTGGCTGAATCCCACCACTGGTTTCATTCCAATTGAAAAGTTTACTTCCTAAACATGGTTAGAGATAAGGAGGCAACCGAGCCCCGCCTACCCAGCTGGTTTTGAGACATGGGTAGACTCCAGGATGGTTGGATTGGCTGACTTTTTTTGTTGTGCAGTTGCTAAGTCATGCCCAACTCTTCATGACCCCATGGACCATGGTCCATAGACCATGGATTAATCATGGCCTAATCTGACAACTGATCAGAATGCAAGCCCAAATTCAAAAGTTCAGAGAGGATATAAAACTCAGACACTCTCAACACCTCTTCCCTTCCTCCCCCCCCTCAGGACCTCAAACCATGTCATCCTGTCCATCATCCAATAAACCATCTTTCCAAGCAATTTCCATGAATCCAGTGTCTTTTCCCCCCACTTGGAACTCAACCCTTAAGGAAATTTCTTCCAACACTGCTAAATTTAGCCAAGCTAAATCGCTCCTCGCTTTCTCCAAGTTCCAGCCAGCATGATAAATAACGTGGCTACCATAGAAGACCTTTGCAAGAGAAGGAACGGGTTGGAAGGCGAGACTGACGGGTGAGATCCTTCTCCGGGAATCCAGAAGGTGACATCAGGGAGATAAAGGGCCTCTGAGCATTTGCAAAAGAGCCATTGGTAGACACTGACTCATCTGTCCCTTGATCTTAGGAGAAGTGGGTTTGATTCCTCCTAATTCAACATCCTGCCTCACCATTCCTTCTTTCTTCTATCCCTCCAAAGGCTAAGCTTTTGAGCTTCAGAAATGGAGATATCAGTATGTGGATAGATAGGGAGGCTTTTACTTCCCATAATCTCTCTTCACCCTCCCTGCCCTCAGTTCTCAGGATTTTAGGCAGTTTCCCTACTGGTTGAAAAAGGAGCATCTCGCATTTGGACTTTGTGCTTGAGGTGGAAAAAAAATGAAATCTTGGTTTGGGGTTTTAGTTTAGTTTAGTTTAGTTGTCTTGTATGCCGCCCATTCCTGAAGGACTCCGGGTTGCTCACAATAGACAAGGGAAGGGGGATAAATAGACAAAGACAACACTTTAAAAAACGCAACATTCACAAT